CTTCTCTTAAACGTAAAGTTACTTCGTCGAGTTACGTTCGTACTCTAATTAAGTATGTAGTAGTACTATACTCTAACTTTAAATTAATATCGTCCTCTCTCTCTCTCTCTCTCTCTCTCTCTCAAACATAAAAAATTGAGATAATTTCTCTCCCCAAATGTTTTGAGATATTTCTCTCTAAAAAATTTTAAGTAACTCCACTCTCTAAAATTTAATATAATTTCTCTCTCTAAAATTTTAAGATATTTTCTCTTTAAAACTTAATATTTGAGATAGTTTCTCTCTTTGAAATTTTAAATTTTAGAGATAAAATATCTTAAAACTTTAGAGAGAAAATATCTTAAGTTTTTAGCATTGGAGTTCAAGAGAGAGTTTTGAATAAGCTTTAATGAAGAAAGGGGGAGATTTAATAAAAGGACTTTAAGAAATAGAAGAGGAAATGAAATAAAGCCATAAATGAACAAAAGAGATCAAGAACCAAGCAAGGAAAGCATTAAACAAAATGAGCAATAAATGAAACTAAGCAAAGACTAATAAATATGCAAGAACAAAACTAAAAGCTACTCGTAAATATTAACATAAGCATGAAAAACAAGAGTAAAGAAGCTAATAAATGACAATAAGAGAAGAAAGGGAGAAAGAAATGATACTTGAAGCTGGGACCCTAGGCCCAATGCCTGGAGTCAGCACCGATTCGGAATAGATTATTTCATGATCAATCTCGATACCTCAGGTTTTGACGAGGCAAGTCGATATGGGTGGGAGAGGATTCGGAAGGTCTAATTATTTGGATCGCCTTCAAGATAGAGTGTAAAAGCTTAGGTTAAAAGTGTTTGGCTTTGGGTTAAGTAGGGTTTGGGTATTGTTCGAATACAGTTCAGCAGAGCTGGTGCTATTGTCAAAATCTCAACATTTGAAACTCAAAGTAACTTATTTATAGGCAAAACAGGCTTAGGACCACCATTGGATTGTTTTTAGTGTAATCTGGGGCCTTCATTTTTCGTCGCCCTTTGGATATGCTTTGATGCCAATGGCAATGGCACCGGATCCGCATTAATTACCATTAAATGCGGTCAACAAAATTAAATGCACTTTAAATGCTCTCTAGTCACATGACTCGATGCTAGTACAATTTTATAGGCGGAGTGTCAAAGGTCTGGCGCCATTGACAATGGCATCGACGTCAGTTAGAGCCACTTCACAGTAAAATTTGCCATGTGTCATCTTCTGGGCATTCTTTTGTAGATTTGATGGACCAATCAGAATTGAAAGCATTTCTGACTACCTTCGGTGCAGTTCTAAATCGCAACGGTGTTAGGCGGTCATTCCAGCTCCTTCGTACTATTGGTGGCTGATTTGACATTTCCTCGACGAATCTGAGGTCTACAACTGATTCCGTACTGACATCTGACATGTCAGTACCTTCCGACACGTGTCAGTTCGTAATGACACGCAACATTGGGTTGTACATCCAGGCTATATCCCAATTTTGACTGCCTTGGGCCTGGTGCTGGTCTAAGGGGCACCGGCGCTATTGGCAATGCTGCCAGACCCTATCCATTCAAGTTGTTTCTGTGCCTTGTGTCTTTTGTGTCAGGTTTGGGAGCTGCTTTGGCACCACTAGGAGTGATGCCAAAACCTTCTGCTTGCAAGCTGCTCCCGGTTTGGTAGTCTCGAGTCTTGGTCTGCTTTGCATTGTTCCTCAAGTGCCTTCAGCTATGCCTAAACGATATCAGGGCTTATGGGGGTCAGTTTACGAATGGGTCAAGATGAATATGAGTAGTTCAAGTATCGGGGTGGTTGGCCTGGGGTACTCTGGTCTCCCTTAGTTTTCTCAATCGGGATCAAGGTGTCTACATCTAGCAATCTATGAATTGATCCTTTGGTTTTACTTCTTCTTGTTAATGTGAGTCAACTTCTTTCCATTTTCTCTTGCAATAGTGAATGATTCATTTGGTTTCGATTTCTCTTGTTAATCTGATTTGTTCTCTGTGCATTTCTTCTGGCAATGGTGAAATTATCCTTTAATTTTGGCTCTTATTTTTAATCTGAGCAATTCTCACGTTTTTTCTTTACATTGGTGAATATGATGTCTGCTTTTGTTAATATCATTCTGGACATTTTCTTTGGCAATGATGAAATGATCATTTAATTTTTGCTCTTTTTATTAATATGAGTCAATTTCAGTTTATTTTCTTTGGATCAATGATCCTTTTGAGTTTTAGCTCTTGTTGCCGCAAATCATTTGGCTGCACGTTATATGTGGTTTTATGAATTGATCTTCCAGGCGATACTTATTTTTTATGTGATTTGTATCCCTACACATTTTTGGTTTTTTCTGCTATGTGAAGTTAAATTTTAAGTTTTTAAGAACTTGTTAATGTGAGTCACATATTTTTGCATACTCTCTCTGGCAATGTGAAATGATCCTTATAGTTTTTGCTCTCGTTGATGTGAGTCACATATCTGAACATTTCCTTATGCAATGTGAAATGATTATTTCAGTTTTAGTGCTTGGTGATGAGTTATATCTATGAAAATTTCTATGCCAATATGGAATGATTCTTTAAGTTGTAGACATTGTCAAGGTGAGACATATCTCTGCACATTTTCTTTAGCAATGTGAAGTATCTCAAAGTTTGAGCTCTTGTTTATAGGATTTATACCTCTGAGCATGTTTTTCTGGCAACATAAAATGATTCTTGATGTTTAGCTCTTGATGTCAGTGAACTAGCTTTGCACATTTTCTTTGGCAATGGTGAAATTATTCCTTAGCTTTTGCCTTCTGTTGATGTATGCCATATCCCTGCAATTTCATCTGTAAACATGTATTGACTTGCTGCATTTTAGGTCTGATTTATAGCTCCATGCATGTTTTGCTGCATTTTAGGTCTGATTTATGTAATTCATAGCTCCATGCATGTTTTCTGGCAATATGGAATGGTCTCGAATGTTTTTCTCATGTAAATGCTGGTTATATGCTCATTTTCTCTTCCAATGTGGAAATGTTACTTTAAGATTTATATCAGGTTCACATGTGAGTCCTGTGTTTGCAAATCTCCTATGAAAATTTTCAATGATCTTCTGAATTCGAGCTCTCTTTACGATTATCATATCCATGCACTTGTTTTGCAAGCAAATTATGGAATTATGCATGATGGTTTAGCTCTTATTAATTGTTTCATATCACTGCACATCTTCTCTAGCCATGGTTAAGTATTCCTCTCATTTTTTGTTCTTATTGATGTCATTTATCTTATTGACTAAATCGATTTCATATCATAAGTTATTTTGTGAAATATATTTGTCATTTTTAAGCCTATGAGATTTCCATTTTTCGTAAATTTTGGACTATGCAGATTGTTTTCCCTCTCTCTTTCATTCTTTCCTTCGCATTTGTCGTACTCGGAATCGTCCTATTTATTTGATCTTGTACCTGTTAAATCTTCAATTGTATCTATTTGTGTTTCTTCTCA